CATTTCCCCCATTCCCTGTGGGGATTATTTGGACGTTTTTCCTTGTCTGATGTGAGGGACCAAGGACAGAGGGTGTCATATTCATATTCTGTCCCCTGAGACAAATGTAAAATGTCTGATATTGGGCTATATGTATTAACTTTGATTGATTGAAAGGTACCATTTTGGGCAGTGAGTTTTGTTAGTTATGTGGGAGGAAAGCGACGAACAGGAACTTACACTCTTTGTTGTGGATGGCAATAGACAGGAAACTGATGAAGGCCACAACCGCTAACAGAGAGAAGAAGACTCCGATGAAGAAGAAGAACTTGAGGCCCTTCAGCCAGGTCCTCCAGTAGTCCTGCAGGTACATGACGTGAGTGATCAGGGTCCACAGCGCCAGCACACCTGAGGAACAAGCACCAACGGGTTAGAGAGAATCGCCATAGCAAACAAGTAGTAAACAAACATACTCTAAACATTCTTCAACAAGCCACACTTGAAAGACTGACTTTCAAACCCTGATGTTGTAGTTTTAAACCACAGAAAAGTCTCATACATCACTGAAATGAATTGAAATGTAGCTTATAATCTGAAATCTTAAAAATAACAATATGCAAAAACCATCCTTAAAGACAATACACTCGCAGCTAATGTAACCTGCTTATACTTAACACCGTCAATGTTAATTTGTATGGTCATGAACTCATGGTAGTATGAGGGATGAGTGTGCATTTTCGGAAAAATCATGACACACCAAGTTGCCAATTATTGCTGAGGTAAGCAATCACACCGTTTTTTTTGTTTTTAAATAGCCACGATGTTGTAAGCCATGCTCACTGGATCTGACTCACTGGATCTGAAAGTGCAATGATAAGGATAATTGAAGGCTAGAGAGTGATCACATAACATATTAGAAGACAGGTAATACTAATAATTACCTGTTACTAATAACTCACTATTAATGACTAATAATAATGCACTTTAATACAGAGATATCTCCTCTTGCACTTTATGTAGCACTTTTATCTTCTCTGGCACTTTATATGTTGTAGCTGCTATATTGTATTACCATGTCATAAACACTTGTGTATGCTGCTCTTGCTCTTTTGCACTTTTTAATGTTTTAAGTGTTCATTACTGTGCATTGTCCCTGCTAAATAAACGATTAAATAAATAAAAATATCATGTGTCATTTTATTTGGGAAAATATAATTGTGTCAATGAATCCTCAAAGCAAACAAGGGACAAGATCCCTTATGAAATAAAAAGCAAAAGTGTTTTATTCTGGTGGCAATTTATCAATGTTGTATGCAGCTCTCTAATCAGAGTTGTGATAGAAGGAGAAACATGATACATTTGTTCTTTAACTAAAATACAAACAAAAGAGCCCAGATGAGTTAGTTTAATCTTTGGGAACATGTCACAATATTTTACAACAACTACATTGATCAAAGTACATGCTGTAAACAGAGTAGATCAGAGGTCTGATATGCACTTGCAACAGTGAGTCAAAGGTCAGATCCACGGAAACGACACTGATCTGTTGAATGATTGTAGTTTTTTGGTAGGCTGGACGGAATCTAATGTCATTTATTTGCAAGTCTGTGCCCAACGTCATGGTCATGTAACATCAGACACATGCTTATAAAAAAATGCCCCGCCCCCCCCCAATTGTTGGAAATGTATTATCCTATTTGGCTCAAATATACATTTAAAAAATGTGTCTGCACTTTGAAATACTTTTAATCTCCGATGTTTTAACAGTTTCAATGTTCCTTTTAATCAAGATAAAAAGTTGACCTTTGTACAGATGAAAAGCTGACATAAAAGAAAAGATCTGCTGCAGCTTATCCCCCCCTGATATTAAACAAATTATAATTTTACTTGATTGTATAACATCGTTTATATGTTGATATCTCTGCCCTTGAACCAGAACTTTGATCCCTGTCTGACTAAAGGCTCCTTTTGCAATAAGTAGGTTCAATAAATAGGGCACCTTCAGCCAAAGGGGGGTCACTGGTGGTATAGCTGAAGGCTTTAATTAAAAACATACATAAGACCTGTGAAATTGTACAAAATAAAATACATGTTTTTACTGTACCTGCCAGTCCTCCCATGGCTGCAGTCCACGGCTGTCCGAACGCGATGTTCCACACCAGGAAAGCAGAAAACCCCATGAGCGTCCCAAACGAGGCATAGCCGATACTAATGTACGTTTTATTAAAAGCCATTTTCACAAAATAAAAGGTGGTGGGAAAGCAGGGATACGGGCTCGACGAGGCGAGAAGAGACTGTGTTTGTGTCTGAGAGAGAGCAGCAAGCTGGGTATTTCAAAACAACTGCATCCGGTTAATCTTCAACGCACGAGGACACAATGTTTCTAACTGTGTGTGCTACTGACTACTGCTGTCTCAAACACGCACGGGGAAAGTTTGAGACATGACAAAGCGTTTCTGCTGAGAAATGTTGTTTGTTCTTCAGTCCAACTGCAAAAAAAACATCGCTCCTGTTACGTCATCTGTTACCAGCCGAAGAGACCCTGCTCAGTCCGGCAGGAACCTCACACAACCTCGTACAGCGTACAGGACACATCAGGGGGTACAGCGACACCTACAGGAGCACAGGACACGAGGATACCTGAGCCCTGTGACAGCACTGTTGTTGACATTGCATTTACCTCATTTTGCAAAATTGCATAATGAATTTCACTCAAATATTGGTCTTCAATATGCAGAAAAGCATTTTATATTCTACATACGCTTTTTGACACTTCCATGCTGAATAATGTGGCTTACAAATTTAATGAAAGGGACTAAATAGAAAAATTACCAGAATTGTTTCGTTACAGAGGGGAAGATATCTATTTTTTTTTTTGTTACATTTTGTGTAGGCTATGCATAAATAAATATGACCAACACTTCAAATCAAATAGTTAAATAGGCAAATTATAACATATTGTAAAATGAAATTATGAATCAACTCCCCTGATTAATCATTAACAAAAAGATGTCTAAAGGTTTTAGCCTTGAATATTCAGTATATTCATAGTTTCTGTTTATTTGTCTTTCTGCTGTTCAAAAGTTAAGACATGAGTCGTGAAAGAGTTTGAAGTGCAAAGTAAGTAATCATTAAAAGAATAAATCATTAAGCTTTTGTTAACACATTTTAATTTTCGCACATTTAAACAAGTAATTTTCTGTTTACAACGGCAACAACATTTCCCACTTATTAGCTTAGCTTTAGCAGTCTCTTGAAATGTCCCTAAATAAAACATGCATGAATGTGAAAACACAACCCAAAAAAAACAAGCTTCCTTCCCCGACTGAGTGAAACTAATTAGAAATATTTTTGTGCAAGTTACATTCGAATTTGGTCGGCGTTTTTTTTTTCTTATCCCTGCTAACTAACAGATAAACAAAACAAACCAAATACAATCTGCTTAACCTCACTACCAATCACCTAAGGGGTACAGCAAGTAGTGCATGGGATGACGATGCTCAAGTCATGCCGTCAGATTTAAACAGACATGGCAGGTAGTAATAGAAAAAGAAATCATCCAACTTCTTCTTCATGACCTTGATGATAGCCGTGTCTCGGTAGATGCGTTGAACCAGCATGTCTCCTTTGGAGAACACCAACAGGTCACACCATTCGGTGCCCGTCACCATCATCTCTCCTTGGATTTGCCAATAGGTTGAGTGGTTCCTCTTTAGTTGCAAGGCTCTGTTTCGGCAGATAAGGAATTTGCACTCATTGAAGCTAGGGAAGCTAAACATTTTGATATGCACCAGCCCGTAACTGGGCATCTCCTTGGGGTCGTACACCAACCCGTCAGGCAGCGCCCCCAGCCACGGAGCACTCGGTTGGACAACCAAACCACAGGTGGAAAAGTTGACACACATTTTCTTACAGTACTCCCGAAGTGCTTCCAGCCTCATTTCCTTCTCTATCTGTGGGGCCTCAGGGAGTGCCTTCTGTATCTTGAATACAAGGTGCTCTGCATTGCTCCTTCCACATTTAAGATTGCAGATCTCCCTGAAACGGCTTGTCAGGCGCAAATTTCGCAACTCCTCGACTTCCTCTTTACGTCCACGTGTGAACTGCTCCAGATTGCGCGCTTCCTCCCAGGTCATATGCATGACGTCCATGTGTTCCTGCTCCTTCGCACCAAGGATAGGAAGAGCAGGTATTGGATCAAGACTGTAGTTTGCCAGGGGAAGCAGTGGCCGAGGGGGGGCATCGTCATAAGACTTGTAATCCCGACTTGATGGCTCGGGGCACACGTAGGACAGGGGGCTACCTTTAGGGACTTGACCAAAGGCAGAGTCCACTAATTCCACATTCTTTGTCAGGCCCATTTTGGTTATCAGAGGCTTCTCGTCTTCTGGACAATCCTTGAAGGCTTCAGTGAGCCTTTCCAAGAAGGAGTGGCACTCAACTGGGGAAGGAACGACAGGTTTGTGGAGCATCATCCTGTAAGAAATTAGTAAATATCATTAGCTATGTAATAAATAAAAACATAAAAAGTAAGGTCATGTGAGTTGTAACTTCCTTACCTCTGTGATTCTAGCATGGTTTTCTGCAGGGTGAACTTTTGCTTCTTCCATTTTGTAGAAAAAAATAAAAACATTAATACATGCTTTAAACACTTGCAAGGTTCAACAAAGCAGGCTTGCAATATGACCAAAACCTTATATAACAGTCCTTACGGTTTTTGTATACACTAATATTCTGATAAAGAGTGTCCCACCCTTGACCTAACAATCAACATTGGCCCCTCTGTTGTTTCCCCGACTCAGACTGCAAGGAATCTAGGTGTGACCCTAGATAACAACCTGTCCTTCACTGCAAACATCGCTGCAACAACCCGCTGCTGCAGATACACGCTTTACAACATCAGGAGGATACGTCCCCTCCTGACCCAGAAAGCGACGCAACTTTTGGTCCAGGCACTTGTAATCTCACGCCTAGACTACTGCAACTCCCTCCTGGCTCGTCTACCTGCATGTGCCATCCGACCTCTGCAGCTCATCCAGAATGCAGCGACTCGTCTGGTCTTCAACCTTCCTAAATTCTCCCACACCACGCCGCTCCTCCGCTCCCATCACTGGCTTCCGGTAACTGCTAGAATCCACTTCAAGTCAATGGTACTTGCGTACCATGCTGTGAATGGATCTGGCCCTTCCTACATCCAGGACATGGTTAAACTGTACACCCCAGCACGTGCACTCCGCTCTGCATCAGCCAAACAGCTCGCTACACCAGCACTGCGAGGGGGACCCAAGTTCCCATCAGCAAAAACACGTGGGTTTGCTATCCTGGCTCCACAATGGTGGAATGAGCTCCCCATTGAAATCAGGACAGCAGAAAGCTTGCACATCTTCCGGCGCAGACTGAAAACTCATCTCTTTCGACTCCACTTCGAGCGATAGAATTACTAACAAA